TGAGGGCCAACTTCTACTACCACACATGTACTCCCTCTGTTCCAAAATAGATTACTCAATTTTGTACTAACTTATAGTTAGTACAAAGTTGAGTCATCTATTTTAGAACGGAGGGAGTACTCAACTTGACCCTATACACAATTTCCTAGTACTACTATAATACTACGATAAGTTGCCAACATAGTGATATTATTTTATAGTCATGTTAACAATTCATTTTGGAACGGTGAGTCCACCCAGCCAAAGAGAGTTGAATGAGACGCTGGGCTGTCATTGCACACAAGTTCAGAGTGGCTCTGTTCCCTTTTCCCAGGGAAATACAGTCTCCATCCAGATGAAGTAGACATGATAGGTATCACTGAACTTGCAACCGCACAAGTTTTCAGCAGTGCGCAACTGTTAGGTCTGCATTTGTTTACTTCATCCAGCTCAAGTGTTCAAATGTATTTGCGAAATCAGAAGGAGAAGACACTAGAAATGATACCAGCATGCGCCACGTTTAATGTATTACTGAGGAAATACGTATGGAACGAATACAATCTACAACTAACAGTGAGAATACTTGGGCACATTAGTATTCCTCTACAAAAACTGTGGAAATTAAGCAGTCCACCCAAAGAATGAACACAATTAACAACTGACAGTGAGAATGCACAGGCAAAGTAGTTTTCGTACATGTCCGAATTCACAAATGACAGTGAGAATGTTATGCTTTATTACAATGCTTTGACGCAACAAAAAAAGTCTATCAGTCTGGGACTCCAGCTTTACACACAAGAAACAACAACACCACGCTCGAAAATGACGATGTAGGGACAATATTCATGCGCCACACACATACTTCAGGTACAGTTCTGAAGTAAACCCAAAGTTTTAAATAGCGCGCTAAGCATCTTAGCGGCGGACCTCTTCCAAATGCTATAGCGTGCTATAGCGGAGCTATAGCGCGCTGTAAACCTGGCTGCTGCAGCAGCAAATCGACTAACACAACACAGCAAACAAGCCCAACAAGACTATCATCTCACGTGCAGGAAGAACAGAGGAGAGAGCCATCAGTTGTATCTCACTCCAACCGTGAAGGGGCGCTGATTGTAGTCGTCGGACTTGCCTCGTCTATCACTCTCTTCTTTCAGCTTTTCCGCTACTTCCATCAGTGAAGCATTATTGCTGCGACCACTGAGTCGCACCAGTTTAAGGTTCTTCAAGTGCTTGATGCCAACAATGCTCTTCTGCCAGTCTCCGAAGTCCACCTCAAGTATCTCGAGAGTTGTCATGGAGTCTTCCTCAAAACTGAACATTTCGGGAGTTTCAGCAGCAGGGATGACTCTTACGCTCTTGAGCGAAGAAAACTTGTGGGCACTGCGTGCAACCAGATCTCTGTCAATGTAAAAATCCATCTGAAATGTGATGTGATTCAGGTTTCGAGCTTTACAAAGGACCTCAAATGGTTGGTTGCCAACAAGTTTTGTGCCTGAAATAGTGAACTCGGCAAGAAATGCAAGTGAACCGACCCAGTCGGGAATCCGAGGAATAAATCCACCGAAGCTAAGGTACCGCAAAAGCTGTGGTGGCATGTCAAGATCCAGCAGGGGATGATAGTCCATGTCATTGTTGTGGACATCTTGCAGTTCTGCCACGTGGAGCCACTGAAGGTATGCTGTCTTGCTTAGGGAGTGGTTTAGCTCTCGTCTAATATCCTTGCCCTGCTTGGAACTTGTGTTGACATAAACAAATATCTGTTCCAGTTGTTGTAGATCACCGATCTCTATGGCAACCTCAACATTTTCGATGGCTACTCTACTCACCTCACGCAATGCCTTCATCTTTGAGATTCCTTTGGGCAGTATCCATAGGGTCAACAGCCTTTCTCTGTTGGAGAACATCAGCCGCTCAAGTTTGATCAGCTTTATCATTGTGTTGGGAAGCGTGTCGAGGAGAGTGTCACCGACATCAAGTGTTTGCAAATGCTCTAGATCACAGACTTCACGAGGCATCATACTGATATCTGTACCCCTCAAGCTCAAGAACTTAAGAAGGTACATCTTGCAAATGTACCTCAAATGCTTGTTTCTTAGGTCCTTGCAGTTTTCCAGATCAAGTACCCTCAGCAGCTTGAACTTTCCTAGTTGATCTAGCAGCAACTTGTGGCCTTCAGACTGAAATGTGCTCAGTGATCGGACATGCTGCACATTCATCCCCTCAATGCCATTCGCCCCATCTGCGCCATGAATGGAAAGACGACGAACAATATCATATGACATTGCTTCATACTGAATGCCTACCAAGCTAACAAAGTTAGCTTCTAGGGATTTGGACACCATAACCTCAAGCATAATGTCATGCACCCGACACATATCCGTCCTATTACAGTAGGTAACTATGCAGCCAGCTTGATCAATCATGCCCCTATTCACAAGCTCGTTGTAGTAGCACTCAGCAGTCTCCATCAAAGTAAGCCCCTGCTTCTCAGGTATCAATCCTTCTGCAATCCATCTTTTCAAGAGACGGTTTTTGCTGATCAGATAATTCTCCGGGAAAATGCTAAGATACATCATGCAACGCCTGAGGTCACGAGGCAGGTGGTGGAAGCTAACTATGATGATCCTCCTCACTCCTTCAGGGGTTGGGTCGTTCACTTTATGTATATGTGAACCCATTGATCTATGAATGTATTTCCAGATATCTTTGCTATCTGGACTTCTATAGTTTGCCAAAAGACTTCCAATGCTAACAATGGCCAACGGATGCCCGCTACATTTCTTCAAAACACAATACATTTCATGTTCCACTTCCTTTGGGCAATAGCATTCCTCGAGATGAGCTTCCTTGAGACCAAATACTCTCCTTAGAAAAAACTTCTTCGAGTCATCAGGGTTGAGCGGCTCCATATGGTATATGTGGTCTTCACATACACTTGCTCCACTGCATGCTTGCGCCACACTATCTATCCGAGTTGTCACAATAATTATGCTGCCGCATGTGCTTTCTGGCAATTTGGACCGGATTGCAGCCCACACAGCTACTGTCCATACATCATCGAGCACAATCAGGTACCTGGTTTCATCATTGAAATTCTAAGTTACAAGTAGTTGTAACATAATATTCCCTCTGTTCACAAATATAAGGCGCTCTATATTTTAGTGTGTTTGTTTTCTCATTTCAGTCTGTATGTAGTCCATATTAAATATCCAAACCATATTATATTGTGAACAAAGGGAGTACTTTAGAGTTAGTCACTCTTAAGAGTATATTTTCTTTTTAGGGGATGTTATGTTATCTCAACTTTGACCACTTCCATGTAGTACTACAAATTACTACCACCCATTCCCTTGTACACCCCATCTCCTTCCCTGACCCAACCGAAATGGTGATGCCACCACCCACCGTTAGCAGCGTCGACACGCCTCGGCTCCAGCAACCACTCCCTCCGTTGCAGCCCTCTCCTAGCAACACCACCGATGAGCCGCCTTCATCCTGCACTACCTACCGCCAGGTCTACCCCTCCCCCAAGGCGGCACGCTTCTCGGCTAGCCCCACTGCCACTGGTTGTGCTTCTGCACCGCCCCTTTGGCCGGAGGACCCATCCCCCATCCACGAATCTCCAAGATCATCGGCCACGCTCTTGCCAGCACAACGTCTTACATTCCCTCCCAGCCACCACACAGGGGTCAAGGGCACCAACCAACGCAGGGCCAGGCCCGGAAATGTTGAGTCCATGGCTCATTGTACCTTCTACTACTCCAACATGAGTTCGATAATGGGTTGCTGAGTGCACATCGGCCCTATGAGTGATCCACCTCACCGCGCCCCATGAGATCTATGACATCATCAACAACCGAAGCCATTGCTTCCCCTGTGTGCGTCGAGGTCACGGGGTACATTCTAGACTGCACGACAATATGATTGGAATCTATTTATTGTCTCGAGTTGTGTAAGTGCAACTTTTATGGTTTATCATATGTGATTTTTTAACACGAAGATCTACTATGTATGATGTGTTCAGTACTAATCATTCATAGTTCAACTAATAATAATATGTGCACTTGAAAAATATTTTTCATGTCAAATCTGTCTGAGAGCAACTATAATGATCTATCAATTGTGTTCTCTAGATAGGAGAAACCACCAGTTGTGATCTATTTAGGTACAATTATGTAGATCTAACATATGATCAGTTGAGGTGCCATTATTTGTATATATGTGCTATGCTTAGGTATACATATTTAGATCTAACAGGTATGATATATTTAGTTGATAACATAGGGCGCATTATTAATACCTATCAATCGTGCTAATTAACCTTGGATATATGAAAGTAATGCATGAACATAATGCTCAACACTTCCCTGTAGACTATATATGTTGATGTTGAAATTGCATCAATTAACGGATAATGTTTTTCTGCCAACATATAAGATTTTTTTGACCCCCACAAGAAAAAAAGATTTTTTTGAAGAAAGAAAAGCTAGAAATACCGAATCTCTTGTTCTAGATACTGGGTATTTTTTTCCTCTTGATCCCTCTATTCAGAATAGAGTTAACCACAACATACGTACATGCATATATAGGTAAAAAAAAAGTGATATAGATGATTTGACAAGCATGTTTACCTCTTGCCCTCGAGATGTTCCTTGAGCTTGTTGGTCAGCACCTCCACATCCATTCCGTCCATGTTACCCACGGAATCCAGTTTCTCTGTCTCGATGCCTTTATCATTCACCTTCAAAATCTGCTGAAGCACGCGTTTCAGCAACCCCCGCAGGTCCTTGCTGCTGTCAAACGCCCGAGACACGGACACCTGCGCTTGGCACTGGAACTTGGTCCGCAGCTGCCGGCAAACTTCGAAGGCGAGTGTAGTTTTGCCGAGCCCTCCGAACCCAACAATGGAGATAACCTTAAGCTTGTCGTCATCCTTTCCGCCTTCCACCATGTTGATCAGTGCCCTCTCTAGGACGCCCACGAACTCATCAGGGTCGTTGGCATCGGCACGGCCAGCGCGAAGCGTTTGTGCCGACAGCTTCGTCACTGCCGGGTCTACAGACGAAGAAGGATACGCGTCTAGTACGGTGCGGCTGGAGCTGTAACGAGCACGGCGCTCGCTAATGGCTATAGCTCGGGAGCGGAGGGCTCTCATGTCACCGGCGAGCAGACGGCGAGGATAAAGGGTCGTAAGCAGGCGCTTGTACTTGGCGAGGAAGCCCTCGCTGGGACGGGGCTTGATGCGGAATATGTAAAGATCGACGCAGTCGTCGGCGTCACATGCGAGCTCCCGCACCTGCTTCATCCACTCCCGGACGACGTGGTCCACCACTTCACGCTCATCGTCTTCAGACTGCTGCGACTGCATAAGGAGGAGGGCGTTCATGGTTGCCAGCTCGTCCCTCAGCTCAACAACCTCGCTGCCGACGCCGCGGAGCAGCCAAAACTCTTTGGCCACCAGCTGCCCAACATTGCTCACAATGGACTGCGCCGCGCCCTCCATTCTCTCTCTAACCCTCTGCTGTGTGGATTTAGAGGTTTGTGCCAAGGAACTGCACAATGGCAATACTCACCGCAGACGTCGCGGGAAGGTTGGACCTTTTATTATGCTAACAAGCACGGTGGGTGGCCATGGCATCACCGTCACGTCCACAAAGCGGATTTGGAAGCATTACAAGGAAGGATTAGCACCTCTCTCGCTAAGCATCTTGATTTAAAAAAATACCATTGGGACACTAGCAATGACGTGCATCTAGACAAGGAAGTTTGAACATACACAATGTTGAGCATCAAATTAACACAGGATTATTTTATCATTTCGTATGGCTCAATTATCGACATCGATTTGCCAGCCTCTTGAAATACCCCTTTATGCTCTCTCTGCAGAGTGTCAACAGTTACCTGATTTGATAACTATTTTCTTGTTTTACCATAAGTTGCAAATTCAGGCAACTATCCAATAGCAAACATCACTAAAGAATTCAATCAAGTTGCCCACCCACCCACTATTGTATAATGTCAAAAAAAAAAAGTTGCCCACCCACCCATATTTTACTATCTTATAAGTTATAACCTGGCCGGTTGTTGAAATGCCACCATCTTTTACAGGAGCGATCATAAAGAACGCAAGCAAGTTGATGCAGTTCACGTCTTTTTTTGTTGAAACGACCAGCAAAAGTTGAACATACCATAGCTCTAGCTTCCATAATTATATGTATAGTATGCCACCCTCTTATCCGTTGATTAGTAATCCTCAGGGCCGTCTCTAGGAATTCGGGGCCCGGTGCGAAAAGAAAAATGGGGCCCTAAATTTTAAAAAATATACAATTACGCAAGCATAATCACCTAATTATGTAATTAAAATTTATATTATTTCATACAATGCTTAGAATATTCTGAAGTATGAATGCGAAATACTAAAACCAATAAACTGACCTCATTCTCTATTGAAAAGTGTCATCCGTCTTGTGTTTCTTGAAATGAAATCTTCAATTACATCTTCATAATTAATCTTCTCCAAGCCATCATTTTCAAGTGCTATTGTCGCCAAACCATTGAGTCTTTCTTGTGTCATAGTTGAACGCAAATATGATTTCAACAACTTGAGTTTAGAGAAGCTCCTTTCCGCAGTTGCAACAGTTACAGGAATGGTTAACAAAATCCTGTACGCAATAATAGCATTAGGATAGAAGGGGCGCTTCATCAGAATCTCAAGAATATCAACGGGGCCCATAGATTTCTTAACTAAATCCTGGATGAAAATTAACTCGTAAAACAATTCAGCTCCATCAATGTCTTTGTGTTCTCCACTCTTAAGTGCATCCTCAAGATTAACACAAGCAGCCAGCAAACTCTTATCATCCATAGATCGCAGCCTATCTGAAGTAAATAAGAAACCAAAAGTTTTTTCATACCCATGATATTGCTCAAACCTCCTAGTAAGTGAAACTATAGCTTGATCGACCACTTGCAGAAAATAATTGACCCTAAATGACTCCTCTGCAGATTGTGAAGCAATAGATGCATCATCTGCACCCTCATCGAATTGTCTTCTTCTTCTGATTTTCCGCTTGGTGCGGAACTCTGGATGAATATCCATCTCAAGTGCAATTTCTTTTGCATCTTCCAATGCTTTTGAAAAGCCAGTTTCTCTATATACTTCTTGAAAAAGGAAAGCAGACCCTGTATAGACTCAATTGCAATATCAATAAGCATGTCCTTTGATTGTAGCTGCTTGCTGACCAAATTAACAGCGGATAATATATCATACCAGATAATTATTGACACTAAAAATTCAAAACCACCAAGTTCATTTTCTGCCAATGATTGTGCTTCACTACTTGTCAATGGATCCTTATCAGTTTCAGCCACTTGTAGTAAAGCCTCCCTTATTTCTGGTATTTGAATCCGTATAGCCTTAACACTCTCAACATGACTCTCCCAACGAGTAGATGACAATGACTTGACAGTCAACTTCTTTAAGTTATCTTTGAGAATTTGCCATCGTTTAGTTGAATTAGCAAATATTGTATAGATGCATTGTATAATTCCAAAGAAGTCTGTTGCTTTACGGCAAGACTTCGCCATATCGCATAGTGCCAGATTTAGACTATGACAACCACAAGCTGAATAAAATGCCCTTGGATATTTGTCCAGAAATTTCTTTTGTACCCCTTTATTGTTTCCTTTCATATTTGACCCATTATCATAGCCCTGTCCTCTCACATTGTCCACATCAAGGCTAAGATTATTCAACTCCTCTTCTAGAACATTAAACAAACCTTGCCCGGTGGTATCATTCACCTCCAAAAAGCCTAAGCAAGATTCTTCGATGCAAACAGAAGCAGAAGATGTATCTACATACCTAATTATCAAAGAGATTTGTTCTTGGTGGCTTGCATCAGGAGTACAATCAAGAATAACTGAGAAATATTTTGCTTTCTTTACCTTTTCAATGATTCTTGACCTGATGGCAGTAGCCAGCATGTTTATTAACTCATTCTGTATAGAAGGGCCAAGGTAGTGATCACGATTTTTTTCATTGGTGATGCGGTCAACATGCTCTTTGATAACTGGGTCAAATTCAGCCAACATTTCAATCAGTCCTAGGAAATTCCCGTTGCTCTCTTGGTACAACTTGCTATTGCTGCCACGAAATGCTATATTATGTTCTGCAAGAAATTTTACAATCAATAAAATCCTGAGCAAAACTTTTCTCCAATGCTCCTTTTCCTTTTCAAGTTCTCGCTGAGCAACTTTATCAATTGTTTGATTCTTCTGCATCCTGAGATGGAAGTCATAACATGCAGTCATATTTGTGATATGCTCTCTACTTGATTCATGCTCTTTTAGTCTAGCCCCAAGATGAATCCAGTCACTTAAACCCTCATTTGCTAGTTGTCCTCTCACATGCCCTCTTTTTAATAATTTGCAACAAAAACAAAATGCTTTATCGAGGCCGCTGTTGTACACAAGCCACTCTCTGTCAAACTTTTCTCCATTCGGGAGAATTCTACTAAATTATAATGCAGAAAACCTTCTAGAGAACTTGTCATAAGGACCATACTCAATATCTTCTCTTTTAGGACCCTTTTGCAGCAAGATATCAATCTTTTTTGGATCAAGTCCATCCCAATTTCTAGGATCAAATATATCAGGCTGAACGGAATTATTCATGTCATCCAAAATATTAGGATCATGATCTTCATCTAAAATATTGACATCATTACCTTCATCAATTTCTGTAGCGGCAACCTCAACCTCTTGCGCATTATCAGCAAGACCATGATCACCTTCATGAATTTCTGCAGTGACAACCTCAACCTCTACTGCATTATCATCGTGACCATCATCAATATTACCATCTGGAGTATGATTTTCAGAATTATTTTGGGGTACTATCACAACATATTTATCAAGAGCACCCCTTTGAATTTCAGCATCTTTTTCTAATTTCTGTTTCTTCTTACGCTTGAAGGCACCAGAATCATACTTTCTTCCGGAACTAGAATGCATGATTATTACTTTTTCAATGAAATATATACTCTTTCAATTTATTTGACCTGATGAGCTCACATGAAATATAGGCTTGTGACATGTATAGGTAGTTCAAAAAACTTACAATCAGATAGAACCTTGATTTTGTACTTGGACGATAGTACGAGCAACTACTGAAATTCTCGAATCTGTGACTACTTCTGAACTTGAAGGACTGCACAAAAAATCGTTCCCAAACATATTAACACAACTCTGCAATTTGTATCAAAATTAGATAAAAGGGGAGAGCGTAGGGAGCAGGGAGGGCACCACACCGGTTGGTCTTCTGTTCCTGTTGGGCGGCACCGCGGCAGTGTCGGCCGGCTGCCGGCGCGACGGCGTCCAACGCTAGAAAGTAGTCCGCTTCTTGCCCGTCGCCTCGCTGAACCTGCAAGGTTGCAACGCGATCGCCACCGAGCCGCCGATTCAGTCGAAAGCGATGGGATGGAAAGCCTAGCGATCATGCAGGGAATAGGAAGCGGAAGTTACAGAATGTACTGCGCTGGGGCTGTCGTTTCATCTACGATCGATCAATCCACGCGACGGGAAAGCGTATCGCTGAGACTTGACCGGGCCAGGCCCAAGAAGGCCTAAAACTGAATTTTTTTTTCAGACTACATATATGTATATGGACCTTAGTTGGGGGCCCCAGGATTTTGGGGGCCCTGTGCGAGCGCACAACTCGCACAGGCTCTTGGACGGCCCTGGTAATCCTATATATGTAAAGAAAATATAAGAGCGTTTGTAAATCACTAAAGTAGTGATCTAAAAGTTCTTATATTTTCATCGAAGGAAGTACTTACCTTCAACTCAAGTCTGTCTTTTCGTATTAATTATTAATTCGTTGTCGTACATATGGAACTATGCAAGTAAACAAAATGAAAAGAAGCAGTGCGCATGAGCGACAAGAGGACCCGTGGTCTGTCCAAAGACGGATGTATTGGAACCTCCTTCATTTTCATACACATATGTTGGGTAGGACTAATATGAAAACAGTATTAATAATTCATAGAAAATTGCCCGTGTGACAACGGGGCATACATATGCTAGTGATTTCACGCCCATTGTGTCTAGCATATATCTTTCTCCACCCACTATCTCTATCTAATACCTCTTTGAAACACTTTAAAGTTTAAACCGTCCGTGAAGACTCACCCCATGCGGATGCTAGACCCGCTGGATTGTTTGCATTTGTGTTGCATGCCTATATTATTTTATACTCACTCCATCCCAAAATAAGTGTATCAACTATGATGGTTTAGACAAATGCAAACAATCTAGCGAGTCTAGCATCGGACCTGCACTTTCATTCCCGTGTAGAAACTAATGAATGGAATTGATGCCTCCACATAGATATGAAAGAATTATTTACTCCACCAATTCAATGGATCATCTTATGTTGTCTCTCGAGTGCATGAGGATCATGTTGAACGGCGTCGTCGTCACTGGCCAATGCAATCTCCAGCT